ATATATGTATATATACACTGATAAAAGTAAAACATAAAAAAATATAAATACAAATATGTGAGAACTATATATACGTCTGTAAACGTTAATAAATGTAAATAAATGTATTTAAAGATATTTGTTCTGTACATTGACATGTAAAACGATGGATGACATAACAGTTCCCCACGGTAAAGCCAAAACATCTCATCTGTGGTGGCAGACTGCAGTATAGGTCATAAAGCCTGCTACCTCAGTGTTAACAGATAGGACAAACTAAAAACATCATAGTACATGTCAAATACATTTTTCCCAAAGATGGTTCCTGTCTTTTGAGGTATTTCTTATCATGCTGATGTATGTTCATTAATTTTGTAAATTTATAACATTTTTAATTTATAATACGTTTGGTTTTAATGACTTATTTGAATAAAAAGACAAGGTTCATGTCATGATTGAAAGGTGAGTCCTGCCAGGCGTATGGGTGAGACTTTGATAACCATGATCACTACTGCGCAGACTCTGGCTCCAAATGATGTCACCAGCACAAGATGGTATCCAGGATATTTTGGCTATATTCATCTTTCATATGTAGAATGTGTCTATGTACAGATATCAACACAGTGCAGTAGTCTGTGCAAGTGTATTCAATTTTCAATTTTTTTTTAATTTGTACATGAAATGATTGACAGGGATAGTGAACGTCTTCATCATGGTTGAATTCCATTTGACGCCTTTCTGTGGTAACAACCTCTCACACACCTTGCTGCCGTGTTTGCAAATGGCTGTATTTCACCCAGCAGATATAGAAGTTTTGTTCTGAGAGCCAGGTCTGCCTGTGGTGGCCTCTCTCCACAGCTGGGCTGAACACTCACTGAGTCTGTACATGGTCACGAATTTCCGTAGGTTGCTCTCCCTGTGAATATCTCCCTCTTTCACTCACACACAGACACACTCACACAGACACACGCAGTACTCCATCAGCACTCCATCATTCCTCTGGCATATAGTGTTTGACCTTTCATTAGTCAGCCTGCACACTCTAAATTCGACATGAGTATGTTTACATTCTGCCCAACATGGCAGGGTCGTCTGGCGCCCAGACTACGACACACAGAGGCACAACAATAAAATTCAGCATGGAAAGCAACAGTCATATAAATCTATAATGTAATAATGAGGATAGAGATTTTCATTAGTTTCATATTACAAAACCAATCAAGGTGAATGTGATGATTTCAGAGAGGAGCAAGGAGGTTATATCAGTGTAAACCACAGGTAATTATACAGGGTAAACAATGCGTGTATGTGTGTGTATCATGGCATAGAAAATGTTAATGAGCTGTTCTCCATTCATCTGGAAAACAAACTGTGTTAAAGGGGACACAGAGAGAAAAAGAGCAAGGAGGCGAGAGAGGCTGAAGCCTATGCTTGTTATTCGATTGCTGGCTGCCGCGTTCTTCAGACTATGTAAAGGTTAGGGGAGGATCACCAGCTGTACTTTCTTTCAGTCTTCTGTTTGTTATTTTTCCTGACCTAATAATAAAATATATTAGTTAAAAACTCATCTAAGACAAGTCAGAGGGGGTACAGAGCTCAAAAAGAGTTAAATGTTCACATTGTGAAATGTATTGTGCGCAACCTACACAATGTAAAAACATATGCATGTACTGAATGTGTGAATGTGTGAGGACAAAATAGTGAAACCATTACAAACACATCACAGGCGACTTAAGTTCAATTCAGGCCATTGGTGTTTCACATGTCTTTTTCACAGCAAACAGTTTGACATGTCAAAGGACAGCTGTAATTATTAACTTTCATTGATGTGTTCATTTCCTGCAATGACAAGTCAATAT